GGTAAAGGCAAGGCGCACTTGTACGGAGGACGGCGGCATCGCGAGCAGAGACTATGGCACGTGCATAGGGTAGATTCATATTTAAATATCTAGTCTTAAGTTAGAATAGGTTGTTTTTCCTTTCATTGTTTTAAATTATTTTGTATTTGTTTTTGTTTCCTCTAAATTTCAGTAATTCATATTTAAACACGTAAGATCATGGCTGTGTTTTCCAGAGAAGAAGTTGTTTTAAAAGTGTTTTTGAAGTTTACGTTATAAATTGTGTTCATGTAAGGGTTTTATTTTTGCATTATAGATGAGCATGAGACGTTAGTAGCGACTCTGAGTATGTGGAAATTTACGGTCGTTACACTTTTCGTGAAGATTTCAAAAACCTGGTTCAAAGAAGGCCTAGAGAAACACTTTCTTGGCCATCAAAAACTGCAGAGGGATTGTCGCTCAATGGCGATGCTGCCTTGACTCCGGCAAGAATATGTCTAACCCACGAAGTAAAATGGGGAAACACAGAGGACGAAGGACAATAGAGAGAGAGGGTTCGATGGTGACTATGAAGAAGATAGGAACAAGAGAGGAAGAAGAGGGTATAAACCGAGAATGCGGACTTTGGGGTGTATTTTAGACAAAGAAAGAAAGAGAAGGACGGAGACAAAATGGTCTACACCTTGTGGACTAGTTTGCTATCAAGCAAAGGAGCACAAGTAAGAATATCTCGAGCATATTTTGCAATTGGAGTTTGCACTGGTGACTCCAAAGGAGCAGTAGGCAGAGCCAGTGGAGATGTAGTCGGTGCCATAGCAAGTGGTGAAGTTCCAATGGATGGAGAGGGAGTCACGTCCCGCGGAGAAAAGGACGAAGACGATGTTGAAGCCGAAAGAGTCTCCACAGTGGATGAAGGAGCCGATTTTGGCAAGGAGGCTAGCGGTGACTTGGTTGACGAAAAGGCTAGTGCAGCACTCATATTTCAAGGGTAAATCTCCACAGAAGGTCGATGGTATGGAATCACGATGAAGGTCCTGAGGCTAGGGTTTATGTGAAGAATGAAGGGAAGATTGGGAAGAAAATAAAAGAGATTATGTTGGTTAAGGGAAAATCGATTGTGTTGGAGAATGTGAGATTGTATGCACAAAGTATGACGAAGGGTGATGTAACGACCCAAGCCCACCGCTAGCAAATATTGTCCTCTTTGGGCTTTCCCTTTCGGGCTTCCCCTCAAGGCTTTAAAACGCGTCTGCTAGGGGAAGGTTTCCACACCCTTATAAATGATGGTTTGTTTTCCTCCACAACTAATGTGGGACATCACAATCCACCCCCCTTTGGGGCCCAGCGTCCTCGCTGGCACTCTTTCCTTCCTCCAATCGATGTGGGACCGCCCCCAAATCCACCCCCCTTTGGGGTCTACCCCCTTTAGAAAACAGCGAGAAGGCTGGCACATCGTTCGGTGTCTGGCTCTGATACCATTTGTAACGGCCCAGATCCACCGCTAGCAGATATTGTCCTCTTTGGGCATACCATCGAGAATGAGCCCACGTGTTGCTCATCTCATCAGAACATCAGGAACATCCATCCATCCGGGTTCTATCGAGGCATTTGCCCTCCCATACCCATGCCACATCATTTACGTATATTAGACCAGATAGCGGCGGTATGTAGCAACCTTCGACACGCGGGTTGGGACGCAATACCAGCACACTCATGTCATCCGGTACTGTCCTTGAAAAATCCATTTCAAAGGAAGTCGTCCGAGACACTCGTCTTGGCACGCTCACCCTCGCTGTGACACACATATGTGCCACAGGGTAGCTCACTTAGGCCACAGAGCCTAGGGGTGGTGGAGAGCTGACACCATGGTAACCCCTATAGTACATTTTGAGCCATTTTTAATCCACTAGGCATAGACATGATTTTGCCGAACGGTCATACGGTACCATGGAGTGTCTGTCCGGTGTTCGATTGACACCAAATTTTTCGAGCACTCATATTTCATATGCACAGACTTAAATCCAGAACCGCATGCCCAAATTCCTTTCAGAACTTCGACTTTCGAGGTTAAGGCCCGAGACCCTACTTGGCCCTTCAACAAGCCTGATTTTGCCACTCTTGTCTATTCGATGTCTCTATCTTGCTTATGTCTCGACTTATCTTCAATGCCTACTCTGTGTGGTGTGTTAGATGATGCACCATCCTCCTTAGCCGCATCATGGCACTCGTCTAGGCCCTCATGTGGCCGAATGGGGGTTGCCACACCTAACAATGGTTGTGGCCCCAAGTAAGACACTGGAAGGTCGCCACTTCTCTTGTCTCAACATGAGGGTCACAACCTACTCTCTTCATAGTTAGGTTGTGACATTCTCCCCCACTTAAACTAGTCATTATCCTCAATGACTTACTTGGGGCCACAACCATTGTTAGGTTGTGACATTCTCCCCAACTTAAACTAGTCATCATCCTCGATGACTTATTTCGAGGCACAATCACACTTTGGATTGTGACTCTCTCCCCCACTTAATCCCGGCATCGTCCTCAATGACAATCCAATTCTAGACTGGCTGCTGACGGACCTAATTGAAATAAGTGCTTCAGAACGGATACGGAAAATGCGTACTACTTATGAGCTATCGCATTGACAGACATTCTTTCGGTCTCAGAGAATCGCAACACAAGTATCGCAAAACAACTGCACTATGGTTGTGGGCTATCCCCTCTTGGGCCTCCCTCGCCCTTCTACGGACTTGACTCGGGACTCACCAGACAAACCATGGCAACTAACTAGCTTCACAATACTCTCACCTTGGTTAGGGGGAGCGTGCCCCAACTTTGGCCACTCTGGCCACACTCGTCGTATTCTCTAAGTCACACATAACGATGCACCCCTCGGGGTAAGGCTCACAAGCCAACCAAGACATTTACTCATCGTGGCACCAACCCTTGTAGTAGTGATGTCTAAAAGCGTAACGCAGCCTCGTGTTGACGCTACACTTCAGCCAACTCTTAAATGGATGTCTAAAAGCTTGTAACACAACTCCATGTTGACGCTACACTTCCGCCAACTTTTAACTTGCCATCTTCATGTGGCAACGCTGCCTTGACAATTCTGAAGTCATGTTGCAGCTTCACTTCTCTATGTCACTTCCAGATGATTCTCAATTCTTGAGCCGATATTGGTCTCAACAACTTTTGTGGAGTCATCGACCTTAGCACAAGGTGATGCTTCAAGGAATACACGTGTGCTCATACCTTGGAGCACCTTTACGAGGTGTGAGGCCTATTGACTCGGGCTCTCCCCCACTTAAAAGCTCGGCTGCCACTTTGCAGCAAGGTCGTTCTCCCCATAAGTCCAACAGTGTTTTGAAATTATTTCATTTGTCATTATTTTTACTTTAATTTTAAATTTCAGCGTTATATGTTTTGAAACACGTAAGTCTAGCCGTGTTTTCTAGCCATTTGAAATGTTCTTAAGGTTTTTAAATTTTTCGCTATTTATGATGAGCAATTAAGAGTTCTATTCTGCAATTAAGAGATGAGCATGAGACGTTAGAAGAGACTCTGAGTATGTAGAAATTTAGGGTCGTTACAATGAGGGTTTGTCTTTGAATTGTATGGATGAGAATGACTTTTATAGTTGATAAGATAAGGAAATCAACTACAAGGGGGATAAGATTCGGATTACCTTGTCGATCGAATATCTCAAGGCAAGAATATTGTTTGAGATTCGAATCACTCCACAAGCAAGATCGATCATGTCTAGCTTGAATGATTCTTGTTGATCAAATATCTCAAAAACTTGTTTGAGATTCGAATCACTCCACAAGCAAGATTGATCATGTCGAGCTTGAATGATTCTACATGCAATCTAAACTACATAGAATTGCAAATAAACTTAGCCATTGGCTAAAGAAAGCACAAATGCTTCTTTTATATATTTTTTCCATGTCTTTTTACAAATAAACATACATGGCTTTATATAGCCTCAAAATGAAACTATTAAAGGCATTTCAAGAGTTGCAACATTCATACTTAATGGCCTTAATTAACCCTTATGTAATTGTAACCTAAAGTAAATTAAAAGTCTTAAAATACAATAATGAAATACAATAACTCTAAATTGTAACCACTCAAAATTTATAACCATCAAACTTCATTCCTCTTCAATGTGGCATGAATTGCAACCTCTTTTGATAATTTTGACAACATTTTCTTCGCATCTTCATTGAACTATATTGTATGATTGATGTCTCTTGGTTCATATCAATAGTTGATTCAATATGTCACTGTTTTGGGAACTTGATAAAATAGAGAGTTGAGAACATACTTTTATGAAATGAAATTTACTCTTCTCATATAAGGAAAGTAAATAAGTAGCTCCCTTAAGAGCGGTTTTCAAGATTTGAACAATGTTTCGAGACTTGAACAATGAGGTCAATCTCTCTCATTGGCTCGAGGGGAACTTAGTTTATATTTGGATCATAAATAAATTATTCATTAGAGAATCAATGTTATTTAAGGTAAAATAGGTAATTACAGGTATAAAAAAGACTTTTGACCCAACTCTAATTACAAACAACTTGTGAAAGACTGACTTGCTTGTAATGATTATATCCATTGCTTGTAATAATTATATCCATAAATACAACTTGTCCTACCGTGCATAAGAGTTAGACTATAAATGTATAGTGGAGAGACCTATGGTTAATGGATGAAAAATAATAGATTAAATAGTTAGTTAATGAACATTATGTTATTGGAACTTATAACAGGTAGATCAGTAAGTTTTCTCTCGTAATTTAGTTTTAAAACATTTAAATGTTCAAATTCATATTTAAATAGGAGAAATATATTTATTATATTTAATACATTAAATATTAAAATAAATTATATATATTTAAAATATGAAATTTAAATTGATTAAATAAATATAATGATATTTTATTTACACATGATTTGAATGAAATACGTATATTTTAATATATTATTTTAAATATGATAGATGATAATCTCCCAAGTCATGTACACAGGATCCTATGGTTGAGTTATATGGTGATCTCTCACATTGTCTACTTAAAATTTTTTCGTTCTATCAGAGAGACTGGATAAAGCTAAATTACTGTTGTTCGTGTCATACTACAAAAGATTACGTCAAAAAAGTTCCTTATCATCGGAATACACTAAATAAAATTACCAACTACGATTTCAACCAAATTAGAGTTTTGTAGAGTGAGACTGTAAAAAAATAAAGAGTTTGTAAGGTCACCATTAATTTTTGGGGTAGTTGGCTCCAAAGTGTTAGGAGGAAACATAATTATATTCCAACTCAACTCCCTTATCTACAATTTTATAATATTCTTCAACGCTTGTTATTCAATTCAGCACAGCTCAGGAATGCTTTGCAAAGATGGTCGCCATGATCGCCGATGAGTACTCTCCGACTCATCCCCAACCTCAATCATCTGCAATAACAGCTCCGTCACTGGCAGCTCCTCCACTTCCACTTTGCTCAATAACTTCTCCAGCTCTCTCTTTGTCATCCTAATCTTGACCTCCGTCGTCGTCGTCCCTCTCGAAGCACCGTCATCGGCATTCAGCTTCCTCTTCACCGTCTCCACAACCTCCTCCTCCTCACTCATCGGCATTGTCTCTGCCAAATATTTGTTGCTTGTACAATTTCCCATGGCAACGGTATAATCTTGTAAGAAAGAAAGAGAGAAAAGGGGAAGTTATGGAGAGAGGAGAAAGATGATGTTATATATATATATATATATAAGATATTTGGATGGAATTGTGAAGGTTGTTGGCGTATATTGAATAGTCAAGCCAAAGTGTCTATTTAATTATCACGTGGAAATTATTTAAAGGGTTGACTCAAATTTATAGCCTATTGAACTCTTCAATATTATTATTAATGTGGGTGATCCAATTATGAGTAATTATTTAGACATAATGTAAGAATGAAGTTGAAAAGTATTAAAGAAAACAACATATTAGAGTTGGTAAAGTCTAAACTTGGGTACTTTGGTGGCTGCTGCGAAGACAGTGTCTGCTTTGAAACTTCACTAAACTCCAAATCTGAAGGACCCAATTTGGCCAAATGGCCGAAGTATTTAGTTGACCCTTACACGTGGAATCAAATTAAGTGGCTTTACTTCCACCTTCCATTATATATATATAGATATATATATCTCCTCTCATCTCTATCTCTATCTTCTTGTAAAAATATCAAATATTTACAAAAATTATCCCTCCTCTCATCTCTATCTTCTTTTTTCTTTTTTCTTTTTTCTTATTCTTTTTCTTTTTCTTTTAACCATTATTAGGTAGAAATGTCTAATAATTTACTTTCGGGAATGAAGGAGTTAAGAAGTTGCACCAAAGAAAAAAAAATCCAATTTTGTCAATTGACTCAAACTTACAACTTGTCAAAATTTAAACATAGACCAGGTTGATTTTGACCGGTCTTAAAAGGTAAGATCCCTAAAATTTTGCCTAGGTTCTATGTCGAATTGGAAAGAATAAAAAAATATAAGAAAATGAATGATCGTTTAGGTAAAATAGACTTGTATTGAGGGAGATATGACCAATATGATCTTAGTGTATGATCATTTGCATGCTATGATCCAAGGATCAAATCCTATTATCAATCTCAAGATCAAGATTATATTGTACAATTTTGGAGTGTGATCACATATGCACTAAAATCATATTTTTGTTCAATCTCCCTTTATATAAGTCGAGTTTAGCTAAATGAACACTTTTTTTCATTTATTGTTTTTCTTTTCGTGAAACTTTTGAAATCTATATGCTCGAAGGCAGAGCAATGAAAAAAAAATGATGAACAACATGCATAGAAAAGCCTGAGGCAGTTGTTGACGGTACTCATGTGAACTCCAAAGTTATTCGGTCTCTTGCCAATAGTCATAGTTTTTAGTGAGCTGTTTGGATATTGTTAAGGTATTAAGGATATTTAGTAATAAATTATAGTTTACCATATATATTATATTTGATATTTTATTATAAGGCAAATATCAGATATTTGCTTATTACCGTAGGTATCTTTCCATTTATTATTATTTCCATATTCTTGTAATTTATTTGATTATAAATAAGATAACTTTCATGATGAATTAGCAAACATTCACATATATATATTTGTTTGAGCTACTACTTGGCATAAATTTGTCATAATAAATATGTTTTTGCCACATCTGCAATTTAAACAAGTATAATCCGAAGATATTTATGTCACATTATAACCACTCTTCCATTAAAAAATAATGTCGTTACTACGTGTATGTCCTTACTGTTAAGTGCAAAAATTCTTTCAAACCATTTACTAAAACATTGACAATGAACTTAAATGATCTAACGTAAGGATCTAATGCACGGATCTAACGTACAGAACATGAATTTAAAAATAATTCAAACGCACGGATCTAACGTAAGGATTATAACATCAATGCAAATGTATCTATCCTGATTTTGTTTACATGGCACTCACAAATATACGGTTATTCATACATAAGTATCTTACCTTTATTTGAAAAAGAAGTAGCACATGACTTGAGTATTTAAAAATACTCTGTAAGTAGTCTGACTATTGAGGTCGAAAAAAGCAATCACATGCAATCATAGTGTGTAATCAAGGAGAGAAAATTCGGATCGAGACATATAGACCATGCAATGCAAAAAAATAAAAATAATAAAAAAAAAAAGGGAAAAAGTGTTTGGGGCCATGAAGAAGAAAAAGACAAAGTATGACCGTCCCTAGAATGAAGACAAGCTAGATTCCCCATGCGGACATCCTCTGTGGCTGTAGAATTCCTGTGCACCCCTCACCTCGGATAGCAAAGTCATTCTCCTAAAAAATAAGTAAATGAATCATCGAGTATATAATTGAAGGGAATGTACTCTTCATCCACGTAGCGGAAGCATTGGGAACCGTTTGATTTTTAATAGGAATTAAAATGTAAGCAATAAGTAGGAAAGCAATAACTCATACCTATGTAGAAATCGTAGATTACGATTCTCGATTTTAACAACGAAGCTCTTCCACAAAATCTTTCGTGCTATAACTCTAACACCAATAAATTGGCGTGTGGGAACTTTTAGAATAATAGGGAAATTCTAACCTAGATCTAGTAAAAACTATATTATTGACTCACTCAAGATTAGAGTCCTATTTATAAGGACCTTGTAAGAATATTTTGCCAAATAATATATTCCAATATCTTATCTATTAGAAAACAATATTTTATTTAAATTATATTTAAATATCACAATCTATAAAAATATATATGGAATCTCATTCCATTTTCGAATATATATTTTTATTTAATGTATCTAATAGACATTTTTCTACTCTGAACTATTCAAATTATTAATTGGACCCATTCAAATTTATTTTTTTAACTAAATTTACTTTTTAGTATTATTATGAGCTAGCACTGGACCTTTTGGACCTATCGGTTATAAGCTCCAATGACATCAAATTAATTAAGTAAACTCTTTAATTAATTAATCTTCATTCATTAACTATAGGTCGCTCTACTATAGACCTATAGTTGAACTCTTATGCACTGTAGGACAAGTTATATCCATGGGTTATCATTAAAGACAAGTTGATCCTTCACGAGTTATTCATAACTACAACTAAGTCAAATGTTACAACAAAAAAATAATAATAATAAATAAATAAAAATTATTATAAAGAACAAAAAAATTATTATTATGTAAAATAATAATAATAATAATAAATTAATAAATAGGTAAATAAAAATAATTATTCCCTCGTCTCTTTTAGTCACTCTCCCCAACAATCTCTCCTCAACCCACCTCATAGTTCCTGCAAAAATGAAACTGAAAAATGTCAGATTTGAAAAAACAGAAATACCCGTCAAATTTATAGGAGATCGGTTTGCAGAGATGTGGATTAATTAGTTTTATTTAACAATTTACCTCGTTAGAAAGATGGTCAGAATCAATAGCAGAAAAAATAGAATCGATTAAATTGGCCAACCTAATTAAAAAGGTAGCAAACAAAACTAAAGAAGAAGGGTTAAACAGATTTAACCTATCACAATTTCTTCTCTCTCCAAAAACAAACAAAAAAAAAAGGTTTAGATTTAGATTTAACCTATCACAATTTCTTCTCTCTGCAAAAACAAACAAAAAAAAAAGGTTTAGATTTAGTTTTGGTAGTGAGAGATATTTTGCTAGAAAAAGATTTTGCATGTGAAGAGGCCAATAGTTTTCCTTTTATTTTATTTAATGATATTAAAACGATTTTGCAGTAGTTTTCCTTTTATATTATTTAATGATATTAAAAGTCGTCCTCAAACACAGGATAATTAAAAGAAGGGAAATACAGTAAGAGACAGGGAGGGAAGATTGGGAATATAATTGAAATTATCTGGAAAATGTTAAAGAGTAATGAGAAAATAGAATATCTGGAAAATTTTAATGGGTATTAAATGATTTATATGAAAATAATACTATAACAAACGTATATAAAGATTTCAAGACCTAACTCAGGCAAAGACTCTAATGTTTACTGCATGAAGTATAACACATGGATCAATATAAATTAGAGAAACAATTTTGTAGAAATTCAAACTCGGAACTGATGTCATGGGCTCACATAGGTTGACTTGAAGTTCAATGGACTTTCATTAAGGATAACGACGGAATCGAACTTTCATTGAGGATATATTCGTGACAACGACTTAAGCTAACCAGGTAAGTGACCTTACTATCGGCATGGTTATTTTTTTTATGTTGACACGTGCCCTGTGGTTCTGCACGTGTCATATATATTGATATGTGTGAATTATCTGTGGATCGATATGCTTCCTATATGTTATGTTATGCTATATAATATGTGGATTGTATGATAATAATTATGGTACGATGTGCTCTAGGAGATGTTTGAGATAGGATACGAGAAGGATGCACAAAACAAAATGTAACGATAGGAGTAAGATACGTTCACAAAACGTTAAATTAGGTTACATACCGGAGTGCTATGGATAGGAGAGATTGATGAAAGAATACGGTTAGGCTATGGGTAGAAAGGGATAGGTTTGTGATAGATTGATAGAACGATGGCGTTAGGATATATTCTAGTGATGATATGACTAAGGTACGTCACGTAATGATATGTCTGTGATAGGTATAAGAACATTAAGGCTATGGTAAGTTAGAGAACGATATGACTATGAAGTGTTTACGTTATGACTTGGTTATGATATGATCCATTGTATGCTAGATTATTGTGCTTAAGTACGAAATCATGTGAACGTGAATGTATGTTATTTATGCTGCTTAATTGATGTGATATGAATGCATGTGACGATGTGTGGCCCTTGTACGATTATGGCTTGTTGTATGGGTATTGAAATGTAACTGAATGAATTGTATGACATGAAATACAGTAAATTGCATGATACATAACCCAGCTAGGAATATGTATGATATGTAACGAAATGAGAATGAGAATGACATGTAAGCATGAAAACGTGACACGAGGTTATGTTCATTAAATGATGACTGTAGGACTAGTGGGACCTCATGCATATTGTGTGATCATGCATTTGGGGGGATACCCCTATCCCATCACGAGGGTACGGACACATACATCCAAAGGGCAGGACAACGATCGTTATGCTTTGCATAGCGCTGCTGTGACGGTTTTAATTCTAACGGGTCCCGGTGGGCT